TCGAGCCCCAGCGGGAAGACGGCGGCGAGCGCCAGGGTACAACCGACGGCCGTCATGTTGTTCAGGTAGGGCTGGGAATTCTGGATGTACCTGCCCGGAAATCCAGGAATCGCCGCCTGGCCCCGACCCCGGGAAAAACGGGGACCGGAAACGGCAACAGCCACGCGTGGAACGGTGGTTTTTTCCCCAGGATCTCCCCCCCATTTTCCCGGTTTTTCCCCATTTTTTTCCCTTGTTTTCAGCTTTTCCTTGGTTTTTCCCCCCAGTTTTCCCAGTTTCCCCCCATTTTTGCCCTGTTTTTCACCGTTTTTTAATTTACACCCCTAAAATTATTAATTTTTTCTCTTTAACCCCCTAAAACTCAGATTTGTGTCAATTCAACCCCCTGAAATTCAGATTTTTTTTACTTTAACCCCCCTTAAAACTCAGAATTTTTTTCACCTCAAACCCTTGAAAATTCCCAATTTTTCCCCTCCCAGCCCCCAAAACCCCGGAATTTTGGGGAATTTTGGGATTTCCCCACCTCACGTGCCCGTTGTAGATGTTGAAGGCCAAACAAACCACGGCCAGGACGATCCCCAGCGACGCCAACACCGCGACAGAAATGAACAATTTTTGGGACAGGAAGCGGAACGTGGTGATCACCTTGGTGTAATCGGCCGGAGGGGACCCCCCTGGGGAGGAAAATTGGGACAAATCCCAAAAAATTCTGGAATTTGGGAACATCAAGAAAAAAATCTCCATAGTTTTCAGCATTTTTCCCTTTTTCTCCCCCATTTTTTCCCCTTTTTCCCCCATTTTTCCCCATTTTGATTCACATTTCCCCCCAATTTCCCCCATTTCTTCCCCATTTCTCCCCAAATTGTTCCCCAATTTTCCCCCCACTTTTTCCCATTTCCCTGCTTTTTTTCCCTCCCATTTTTCCTCCCATTTGTCCCCATTTTTTTCCCAATTTCCCCCAAACCTCCCCCAATTTTCCCACCAAATTTCCCCAATTTTATTCCCATTTTTTCCCATTTCCCCGCTCTTTTTGACCCCCCATTTTCCCCATTTTTCCCGAATTTCCCATTTTTTCCCCATTTTTCCCGTTTTTTGCCCCGTTTCTCACCGATCCATTTGTCGTTGTTGTACCAGGACAGGTTGTCCTTGGTGCTGTCATAGTAACCGATCTTCTGGTACTCCCCATCTGCCGCGGGTGACACCGGCCAGGTGACACCGGCACCAGTGACACCGGCGCGGGTGACACCAGCATGGGTGACACCAGCATGGGTGACACCAGCATGGGCACCAATGGACAGGTGACAATGGACAGTTGACAATGGACAGGTGACATCAGCACGGGTGACACCAGACAGGTGACACTGGCACGGGTGATACCAGCATGGGTAGCAATGGACAGATGACACCGGCACGGGTGACACCAGACAGGTGACATCGGCTCAGGTGACACTTGGGGACACTGGGACAGGTGACACTGGGACAGGTGGCAATGCACAGGTGACACCAGGACAGGTGACACTGGACAGATGACACCTGGTGGTGGTACTGGTGGCACTTGGGGACACCCACGGGTGGTGGAGCCAGAAGGGGTTTGGTGCCATCTGAAGGTCCCTGAGTGCCACCTGAAGGTCCCCCAGTGTCACCCGGCGCTGTCACCCGGGTGTCCCCGGTGTCCCCTCACCTTGGAGCTGCTCGATGAGGGTCCAGGCCATGCGGGAGCCGCTGGCGTCGAACACAACGTGGCCCTGGTGGGGACACGGCGACGGCGTTGGGGACACCCCAGGTGGCACCTCCGCCCAAACGCGGTGACATCCACAATGGCACCCCAGGATGGCTTCTGGTGACACCACTGATGCCACCTCCACCCACGGATGAATTCTGGGACTACCCTTGCCGTCACTTCCACCCAAAGATGAATTTTGGGGCCACCCGTGGTGTCACCTTCACCCAAAAATGAATTTTGGGGTCGCATTTCTGAGGAACCTCCACCCAAAATGCAGATTTGGTGTCACCTCCACCCAAATCTGACTTTTGGGACCACATTTTGGTGTCACCTCCGCCCAAGGCCGGATTTTGGTGGCACCAGTGACGCACCGAGACGCCCTCGAAGGCCGAGGAGTTGAGGGCCCGGTAGATCTCATCGGTGATGGTCTTGTTGTTGTAGTTGAACTCGTCCAGCCCCACCCCTTGCTTGGCCAACTCTTGGGCCGTCTTGTTGAGCGCCAAGGCCAAGGCCCAGATGGCGTCGTAGGCCAGTGGCGCCTCCTGGTAGCCCCCGGTCTCCTTCGGGTTGTTCCCCAGCCTCTTCTCCAGCTTCTCGATGAACTCTTGGGACGTCTGGTGGACAACACCCAACGGTGACCCAACGGCTTGGGGACCACCCAACGCTGACCCAACGGCTGGGTCAGTGGAGCCCTCCCAGTGGTCCCAGTACCATGTTGGAGATGCTGCGGGTGTTCTCGGGGTTGAGCATGACGATCTCGGTGGTGATGTGGCCCTCAACGGCCTCGGCCATCTCGGCCTCGGTGCAGTTGATGGAGGGGTCCGGGGTGCGGAACCACTTGTTGGCGTACCAGCCAATCAGGAACCAGACGTACTTCTTGCCGTAGAGCTTCTCCTTGTAGACCTGGAAGGGTGGGGAGATCTGTCCGTCTGTCCATCGCCAATTTCTGCTCATTTCCATCCATCATCCATCGTTAGAGTCCATCTACGGTCCATCATCCATCCATGATCCATCATCATTGATCCATCATCATTGATCCATCACCATTGGTCCATCCACCCATCCATGCTCCATCAAGCTCCACCACTGATCCATCCTCCTCCTCCATCATCCATCCATGATCCATCAATTCCCACCATCCACCATCGGGATCCATCCCGTTCCCGCCCCGTTCCCACCTCACAGAAGACTTTCCGTGCCACCGTCTCGTAGAAGAGCCCCACGATGATCCGGGCGTCCTGGCGCTGCGGGATTGGATGCTTGTTAAAGCCCCGCCCACCTCATTTGCATAAATCTGCCTCCCTCTCCCACCACTCTGGCCATTCCTCTGTGACCCTGATGGATTTTTGGGGTGGTTTCTCCTCTTTCTGGGGGTCCACAGTGGCTGGGGAGGGTCTTGAAGGTGGGGTGGGACCTCAGGGTGGGGGTGGGGTCCCACCTTGAGGTTCCGGACGGACGCGGAGGGGTCGGAGAAGAAGCTCTGGCGGAAGGTGATCTCCAGCCCGGCCTCCTTCACCCGCCGGTCGAGGTCATCCAGGGTCTGTGGGGGACGTGGGCACCAAAAATAGCTTGGGGGGCACCAAAAATGGAGTTGGGGCATCAAAAATGGGGTTGGGGCATCAAAAATGGGGTTGGGGGCACCAGAAATGGGGTTGGGGGCACCAAGGAAAATTTGGGGCCACCAGAGATGATTTAGGACCACCAAAGGAGGATTTGGGGCCAGCAAGGACAATTTAGGGCCACCAAAGCCAAGTTGGAATTCCAGGACTGACCCAGACACGGATTGGGAATTCTGAGAAGTTCTGGGATGGTTCTGGGGCACCGGCACCGGCCTCAGTCGGACTCCAAGGGCGTTTCTGGGGGTTCCTACCGAGGTGGATTTGGGGGCCACCAAGAAGGGTTCTGGGGCCAGCACCAAGGAGGATTTTGAGGCTGCCGAGGCCGAGTTGGGATTTGCTGGAATTCCGGGATCGGCTCGGACACCGGGAGCGTTTTGGGGCGGTTTTGGGGTTCCTACCGAGGTGAAGACCTCCTCGGTCTGCTGGATGGTGGCGATCTTGGTCCAGCCCCACTTCTTGAAGAGCTGGACGCGCGTGGGGTTGTGCAGCGTCGCTGACGGGTGCGTCCGGAAGAAGGTCGGGAAGCGCCGGCGGTTGGAGAGCGCCGGGGAGCTGGAGCCGTAGGAGAGCTGGGAATGGCCAACAGGAATTCCCGGAAAAAGGAACATTCCCGGGTTTTTGGGGGATTTTTTTGGGGGGATTTTTTTGGGATTTTGGGGGGTTTGGGAATTGGGAATTATGGGGATTTGTGGGGGTGGGAATTGTGGGGGTTTGGGAATTTCAGGAATTTTGGGAAAGGGGAATGGGAATTTTTGGGAATGGGGATCTGGGAATTTCAGGGTTTTGGGAATTGGGAATTGTGGGGATTTGGGGTTTTGGGAATTTCAGGGATTTTAGGAACGGGGAATGGGAATTTTTGGGAATGGGAATTGTGGGGATGGGAATGGGAATTTGGGGATTATGGGGATGGGAATGGGAATGATGGGAATTGTGGGGATTTGGGCAATTTGGGGATTTTGGGAATGGGGATTTTTGGGGGTTTGGGTTTGTGGGAATTTTGGGATTTGGGAATTTCGGGGATTTTGAGAATTGAGGGAATTTGGGGATGGGAATTGTGGAGATTTTGGGAATTGTGAGGATGGGAATTGTGGATATTTGGGTATTTAGGAATTTTTGGTGGGGATTTTGGGAATGGGGGTGGGGATTTTGGGGATTTGGGAATTTTAGGGAATTTGGGAATTGTGGGAATGGGGGTGACAGGAACAACCTGGGAGTGACAGGAAAAATCTGGGAACAACTGGGAAGAACAACGTGGGAATGACGGGAATGTCCTGGGAATGACAGGAAAAATCGGGAAGTGGCAACCGCAGAGTGACAGGAAGAACCCCCCAAAATCCCAAAAACTCCCCCCAAAAAATTCCCAAAAGATCAGCAAATGTTCCAAAACTTTTTATTTTATTTAAAGAAAAATTCAATAAAATATATTTTTAAAATAATCATTTAAAAAATCAAGAAAATTTCCCCAAAAAATCCCCCCAAAATCCCAAATATTCCCCCAAAAAATCTGCAAATATTGCCAAAAGATTCTCTAAAAATTCCAAAAAAACTGCAAAATGTTTTTAGAAAAATTCCCAAAACACCCCACAAAAATTCCCACATAAAAAAATTCTAAAAAATCCAAAAAAAGCCAAAATATTAAAAAGCTTTTTTAAAATTCATCTACATTTCCCCCCAAAAAATCCAGAACATTTCCCAAAAAAATCTCAAAATATTACAAAATATTTTAAATCCCCCAAAAATAATCAACCCCCCAAAAAATCCAGAAATTACACCAAAAAAATCCCCCCAAATTTAACAAAATCCC